CTGTGTAACCTTGGGCAAGTTGAAGAGTCTCTGAGCCTCAGTTTCTTCCCCTGGGTACTTGGGCCACCCAGGCCTCCATTCCAGGGCTGTGTGGAGAATTGGGGCTTATCTGCCACTTCTTCACCCTATGCTTAAGGGCCCTGCGTTGGGGCTCGGACCATAATCCTTAGCTACAGTCTTTCAGGGAGTCTTAATTTAGGGGTTCCTGGCCGCCTCAGGCAGTTACCCTTATTACAAAGATATGAATGCCCCGTGTGTACCAGCTCAGGACGATCCTCACTGCAGGTTTCCTTGATGCTGAAATGGCCTAATCATGCTGCAGCCCTCCCCCCTCCCTCTCCCTCTACCTGGAGCCTGTGAAACTCCTCTGGAAGAGGCCAAGCCAGGAACCCCATAAAGAGCCCTTTGGCTGAGTGGAGTTGATGGAAAATTGCGGGTGAGGAAATTTTTGAAAGCACGTCTTCATTTGGAAAACACTTAAAAACACAGAGCAGAAAATCTCATCCATTATGTTAGCACTTAAATCAGTAAAAAGTCAGGTCAGACCCTTTGCCTTCTCCCGCTCTCCAAAAGTAACCACTCCTCCTGGGTTTATAAGCAGACAGCCTTTTAAAAAATGTAATTATATTTATGCTTTTTAGTTTGCAACTCTTCTTTCATCCATCTCACGAATCTTTCCAGATCAAATTGCGTGTAAATCTTCCTCATTCTTTCCAACAGCTACTGAGCATTCTTTAATGTGTGTGTCCCATCATTTAAGGGACCACCCCCATTCGCGAGCTGTTGAATTGTTTCTTGTTTTTTTTTCTCTTTCTATTACAAATGATGCTTCTGTGACTATTTTTGTGTGTGTTTCTGCACCGCACTGGATCAAAGCATATACCTGTTTTACATTTTAGTAGGTGCTCACAGGTTGCCCTAAAAAAAAAAAAGTTGAAGTAATGCACATTCCTACCTGCCCCAGCTGACACTGCTTTGTTCCTCCAATGAAAATATGTATCGCTTTAGCCGCATAGCACAGGGATATCAGCCTGGTGCTTTGTGACCACCTAGAGGAGTGGAATAGGGAGGGTGGGAGGGAGGGAGATGCAAGAGGGAAGAGATATGGGAACATATGTATATGTATAACTGATTCACTTTGCTATAAAGCAGAAACTAACACACCATTGTAAAGCAATTATACCCCAATAAAGATGTTAAAAAAAAAAAAAGACAACCAACAAGGACTTACTGTATAGCGCAAGGAACTATACTCAATATCTTGTAATAACCTATAATGGAAAAGAATGTCAGAAAGTATATACATATATATATATATACACATATAACTGAATCACTTTGTGGTACACCTACAACTAACACAACACTGTAAATCAACTATACTTCAATAAAAAATTTTTTTTAAGTATAAAAAAAAGAAAATATGTATCGCTTTGTTGCTGCAGGGTGGGTGTGAGATGCAGCAGTCACATCCCTCGGGCTGTAGGATGGGCTGTTACCTCTCAGGGATGCGACTGTAGCAAAGCCTAACAGAATTGTTTCGTGGGATTTTGTATGAAATTCTGTGCTTCTCTTAACGTGTGCAGAGAGCACTGAAGAGAACTCCCCTGCTTCCTGATTCTGGGTCCTTGTATCCCAGAAGTTTATTTTTTATTTAATTTTTTATTGGAGTATAGTTGATTTAAAATGTTGTGTTTCTGCTGTACAGCAAAGTGAATCAGTTACACATATACATATATCCACTCTCCTTTAGATTCTTTTCCCATATAGGTCATTACAGAGTAATGAGAAGAGTTCCCTGTGCTATACAGTAAGTCCTTATTAGTTATTTATTTTATATATAGTGTAGTGTGTATATGGCAATCCCAGTCCCCCAATTTATCCCCCTCCCTTCCCCCCCCCCCCCCGGTAACCATAAGTTTGTTTTCTACATCTGTGACTCTATTTCTGTTTTGTAAATAAGTTAATTTGTACCATTTTTTTAGATTCCACATATAAGCGATATCATATGATATTTATCTTTCCCAGAAGTTTATTTCGAATAGAAGGACATGAAAAGTAGAATCTTGTTAAACCTCAGCCACATTTGTATTTACACCATAAGTCACTTTTATAAAGTTACCCAGGGAGGATGAGAAACAGGAACAAAAAAGGGATTTCGAGGCTATTTCTTTCTTTTTCTTTTTTTGAAAGCAGAAGCAGAATAGAAATTGCCTGTGATGGCTCGTGCCCTCCCCTGGGGTCAAGGCCTCGGAGACCTCCTTGCCTTAGTTGCTGAGCACTGAACTCTGGAAGGCTGAGTTGGGAGCCGGTGGATTTTGGTGGTTGACTCCAAGGATCTTGTGGCCGTGAGGATGTCTTCCCAGTTCTTGGGGAAAGACGTGAGAGACTTGGTGTTTATGGTTGAATCAATCCCCTGGGCTTCTAAGTGGGAAGTAACCAGAATCCTGGGAAGGTTAAGTCCAAGGCCCTCCCAGAGTCAGAAAGAACTGAGGGCCCTGGTGCTTCCCAGTTGGCTGGTTTACATGGCAGTGTTGTGAGGGGTTGTGTGTTTCCTGTTTGTGCTCTGCTACATGTGGGCCTTGAGCCCTGGGAGTGGGGAACTCGGGAGGTGTACGGCTGGGACCTGGTCCAAATCTTGGTTCTGACACTTTGCAGCTGTGTGACCTTGGACAAGTCCTTTGACCTCTCTGCCAAGTTAGTTACTGTCTGACCAGATTCTGCCACCAGATTCTGGATTCCAGAAGGTGGGTGCTGAAGGAGCAGGGGCATGGGATTCAGACCGGGGTTCCGATCCTGATGTCACCATGTGTCTCTGTGACCTTGATCACATGATTTCACCTCCCAGGACTTGAGTTTTCACCTCCGGTATTTCTCATTGAAATAAATGAGATGAACGAGATATGGCAGGTGCAGGCACCTGGGGAGGGCCGATAAACAGCTAGTTTACCAGGATGAGACTGGCCTCAGGCACCTTGTTCATCCCCTGACCTGGGCTCAAGGGCGGTGAGGCAGGAGGCTCAGGTCAGGCAGAGTTCTTGGCATACCCTGTAGTCCTGCTGCCGGGCCTTTGCTTAAGCCTGTTCCTCTGACTACAACACTGTTCCCTCCCGCTTCATCTTTTTTTAAAGCTTGGATTCAGACGCCGCCTTCCCCCAGAAGCTTCCTATGAGCACTGTCAGTTCCCAGCCTTGCCCCAGACTAAGTTGGGGACCCCTTCTTGCTACTTCCTTTATTACCCCCACCCCCATGTCTCTGCTACTGCAGAGTCATCGAGCTGACTGGTCCCTTTCCAAATGGGTGGAGAACAGGTATAATTCATGACCTTATCGCTGGGCTGTCAGCATACCTGGGAGGTGCCTTTGGCTGTGGGTGTGAGGTAGAGGGATGAGGGAGCAAAGGACAGGGCCTGGGCCGCTCCCTGCACCCCTCATTTGCGTAGAAGTCCACCCTCTATTTCTGTCCTAGAGTTGACCCTTGATTAATGTCTTGACCAGCTGGCTGATTAACATGATCAGAGGCCCTGCTCGATGCTGGGGGCTGTACATACACTGTGGCGTCTGCTCCTTCCAGAGCCCCTCGAGGGTGGTATTGTTATCCCCATTATACAGCTGGGGAAGCTGAGGCCCTGATTTTGAGCAACTTGGCAAAGAGGCTGTGGGGAGGCTGAGCCAGTGTGGAGGCCCAGACAGCCTTGACTGAACACCAGTTTCTCTCCAGAGTAGCAACTGTGGGAGCCTAAAGGGATTTGGAGGAGGGGAGGAGGTAAGAAAGAGACAGGGAACAGTGGATAGTGACAGTAGCAGGAGCTGAATCTGAGGAGCACTGACTTTGCATCTTTGTTCTATGGGCTGAGATATATTATCTGGTTCAATCCTTACAAGAACCTTTGGAGGTTCTTTCATCTGTCATCTTCCCCTTTACAAGGGTGGCAATTCAGCCTGCGGGTGTAAGTGACTTGGGGTAGGGGCTGCGATCTGCAAGCCTGAAGTTAAGTCCCTTCTGAGTGAGGGGCAGTGAGTCTTCGGACATTTGGGAGGCAGACTGGGGGGAGGGTTTTTGCAGAGCAAGGGCTGAGGGAGCGACATGATTTCACTCTTGTTCTTAAAGCATCCTTTTGGTTCCTGGTCTGAGAGTGGACTGTAGGGACTGGAGCAGAAGCAGGGAGACCAGTTAGCAGGCGATCAGAATGACCCAAGTATAAGATCCTTGGAGGGACCAGTGAAGCAGTGAGACTGACTGCATTCTAGGTTTGCCTGTGGATTGGATGTGGGCGTGAGAGAAACCAGACAAGGAGGGCTCTGAGATTTGGGGCGCAAACACCTCTCTGGGAAATGCCAGCTGTGCAGGAGGATGAGGGATTGTCAAGGACACCCCTGGATGCTGAGTGGCACGCCAGGTGCTTCACAGGTGGCTTTCTAACTGTTCCGATGAAACTGGGGCTCACGGAGGTCACGCAGCCTGCCCAGGTCCACACGGTCAGTGGGAACCTACACCACGATTTGAACGTGAGGCTGCTGGGTCCTGCCGTCTTCTGCCCTTTTTGCCCCAGTTCCATGGACACATTCGGAAGGGTTTGTTTTTTTTTTTTTCCTGTTCCCAACTTCACTCGGGAAGTAAAGGGATGGTTGGAAATCTCTTGGCAGGCTGTCAGGGGTGGGGACAGGAGTCAGTCTGGGCTGCTCTGGCTATTCAAATGTTCCACAGCATCAGAGTATGTGGGGAAGGAGTGGTAACAGCCAGGCTGGAGTGATTTGGTTATTTAAAGCCGGGATCGTGGTTGGGTCACTGAGGTCGAGGGCTCCACCCACACCTCACTTCCATTTAAACCTCTGTGTGTCCTGCCTGGGCTCTCTGAGTGGCCAGCGAGTCTCTGCCACTAGAACCTTCTCCCCAAACTCATCCCGATGGGCATGGGACAGGATCTTCACCCTTGAAGTCGAAGCCAAATCCCACTCAGTTAACTAAAAGCAGTTCCCTCCTTTATTCCGCCCTTCCAGCCTCCCTCGTTCTCTCACTCCTTGCCTCCCCCTGGAGCTGGCAACCATGAGCACCACGGTCAATGTGGATGCCCTTCCGGAGTACGAGAAGAGTCAGATCAAGAGGGCCCTGGAGCTGGGCACGGTGATGACGGTGTTCAGCTTCCGCAAGTCCACCCCGGAGCGGAGGACTGTCCAGGTGATCATGGAGACCCAGCAAGTGGCCTGGAGCAAGACGGCCGATAAGATCGAGGGCTTCCGTGAGTACCTCCTCCCCTTCCTGCCCAGACCAGTGGTCACGGCAGTTGTTGTCGGTTTGATACCTTCTGAAAGTGAAAGTGGGGCCGCTCTGTCTGGGTCTCTGAATGGGTTCAGAGCAGGTGGGGGAAGTTAGCCAGGAAACAGCAGGTGAAGGAACAGGAGCCCGCGTGGGCCAACTTGGAAATGACATCCAGACAGCTCACCCGGGATGGCAGGGGCTGGGCTCCCTGTCTCACAGCATCGGGGACCATTTGGTTCGAGCTGATGGTCAAGCCGTCTGCCCTTTGAGGGCTTAACTGGCCAGAGCTTGTGGAAATTCATAGCTTGGTAGCCAGACGAGCAGAGTGAGAAGCCTGTGCTTTAGCTCCAGGTGGACAGAGCGCACTGCTGAACGTTCTGTAGCTCTCAAGTGAAGTTCTGGTCCAGGTGGAGGCATCTTCTTCTCCCCATCCTCTTTACATTCGGCAATTGGCTCAGTCCCTAAAGTTTCTAAGACTGTTTTTAACAAACAGAGTTAGGAGACTTAAGCAATTTTCAGTTGCAGAGACTTGTTTAATTTGACTTTTTTATCGGCTACTTTTTAATTGAGGAATTAAAACGTACACTTGGGGGAGAATGAGACGATTCTAAATAAGTGTCTCTTCCCCAGCCCACGTCTTGCTCCAGGGGCAAGCTCATTACCAAGTTCTTTGGTCTCCCAGAAGTATTCTGTGCTCGTGTGACGTGTGCATTGTGTTTCCTACATGAATGGGTACCTACTATGTACACCTCTGCACTTTGATTTCTTTTTTTAATTTAACAATTATCTTGGAGGTGGTTTACTATTGGCCTGTTGAGCTGCCTTTATCTTTCATGGCCAC